CCCCAAAACCCCAAAACCCCAAAACCCCAAAACCCCAATCTGAGATAACTACGAACTTCTATGCTTACTTAAGGTTTATTATTTCTGATTCAGATTCCTTTGTTTGCTGATTTCCAGATTTTACTAAAAGCTGGTTAATAGGCTTACAATGGCTTGTATCTTGGTGTCATGAATATCGTCTAAAGATTAGGAATTAGGTTTTACCTTAAAGAATTTCGAATATTCTGCTTCTTTTGGTTTTAATCAGCCGGGCTATTATTTGTCAGTCAACTTTTGTTTTTGATTCCCAAGAAGTGTTGGCAATTTTTGGAATAAAGTAATTCCAGGTGTTGATTTTGATTAGTAAATAGAACAACCAAAATGAAATTATTATTAGAGTGATAGTATTAAAAATAAGGCATTTAGAGGAAATGTAGTTTCAGTAATGAAGTATCAAGATAAATCGCATTAAGATTCTTACTCTACTTGACGAAGGTTTTGATATTAATTCTCCTGTGCGCACTGAACGCTGAGTGTAGAACTTATTTATGCTTTTGAGGGCTTTGTAACCCGGAGTTGATGTTATCATACTAAAGCATGTAAGGTGTTTGTTTTATTTGCAAGCAAAAGCTGATAGAGAGTATCAAGAATTTTTTGATCACAGTGTGACACTTGAGCTTACTTTGGGATTGTTTTGGAAACTTATAGCTGAGAAAGGAAACTTAGGAATATTCCAACAGCATTCCTTCCTTTTTGGGATGTAAGCGAATTTGTTTGCTATGTTATTGTAATTATGTGTGTAAGAGTAAATATGAATTAATAAAATAATTCTTGGCAAGCATAACCCATTGTATTTTTATAGATCTTACCTTCACTTGATAGCACTAAGGGTGGCTCTTCTAGCTTTTGTAATTGCTCATTGCCAAGTTGACTTGCTCTAGGTGTTGGGTTCAGTGTTATGTAAGGATGCATACTCGGCTCCCTAATATCATAAATGTCTTTCATTTTTCTGTAACCCCAAAGGTTATTGAATACTTACCATTTTTTATAATCTCTTCTATTTGAGATGTTTGGAGGTTCAGAAGTGGCTCTTTCTGAAAAATTTATTTGAAAATTACCATTCTCAATAATTTTTCCTTTGAATTTAGTGATGATATGTTGATTCGTGAAGCTTTTGAGTGACTTAAGGCTAACAGTGTTGTTGATTTCAGGAGTTGAGTTTTTAGATATTATATCCTTATTTAAAGAATTTGGCCAATTTTTTCTAAAAATTATCCGTTTTTGAGTTACCTAGAAGCTTGTCCTTGTAAAGAGATCTTAGGTTGACTTTGAGATTGCAGCATTTTCCGTCCATGCAGACCCTTTATTTTGAATTTTGTCTCTCCTTTATTTAGTGAGGATGCTCATCTAAATCTTATGAAATTTTCATCAAGATACGATACTTACCTGTCTCGAAGAAAATGACTCAGTTTTAGGAAGAATTCTAGGGATCAATGGATATTTCACGCTAGTCTGCTTATTTATATTTTGAGTTCTTAGTCCAATTTGGCAACTGAATATAATTAGAAACAAATTATTAGATGGTTTATTAATTTCTGTTGCCTCAGCTTTCTTTCACTCGCATAATATTTCTCCAATTTTATAGATACTGAAAAAGTGGGACAAAGAGGGAAGATAAGTCATTACCTTATTTCTTTTGTAAAATCTACTTCTTTTTCTTCTATTAATAATGATTATTAATTACTTACAGTTGTGAGTACTCTTGCATATTCTTTAACATTTTATTTATATAAATCTCAATTAAGCTCTCTTATATCGGGGTTTTGGGGTTTTGGGGTTTTGGGGTTTTGGGGTTTTGGGGTTTTGGGG